TGTGTGTGTGTGTGTGTGTGTGTGTGTGTGTGTGTGTGTGTGTGTGTTCTGGATGAAAATTTGAATCGGAAAAAGTAACAATAGTTGTGAAAGTACTCAGAATACAAGACGAGTACTTATAACTGTCCAGTATGTGAGTAAATGTAGACTACTTTGTTGTTATTTTTCACCACTGTTGTGTGGTTTGCACCACAGCAACACCACGCTGCTGAACTTAAAGTTGATACAAAGAATAAAGAACTCCCAGATGAGTCACACAGCCTAAAGAACAGGGTCAAGTCTGTATGTCTTCTGTCTCTGTATGCATTACCACCACGCATGGAACTTATCAGTCACTCAACAAGCAGTAACGCTCACCGCAGTGCTGACTGAAGGCTCGACAGTGTCTGACGCTCCTCCACACTGTCAAGGGTCACCGTGAGAGTGACAACAAAGCCACTCCCATCACCGTGAATTATATTTAGATCCTACTGACATGTAAGGCTAACCTGCATCCTCACTGGACTCTCCAGCTGCCACTCCATTGAACGGAAACACCTCTTGAGCAAGGGGTTTTATACTTTCCTACAAGTGGGAATGACCGGGTGGGTTTAGTTGTTGAACAGTGGGCATTGATCAGGAGTGCAGCAGGCGGGATCACAGAACCTCCAGTGAAAACTATCTGAGAGAAGTTTATCTTGGCGATGCAGTCTCTTCAGGAGAACATGACCTCTCCGTGAACGAAAGAGGCTGAGTCACCAACTGACTCTGGATCTGCTGTAGGAGATGAACATTTTAAGGTACGTTTTTCTTAATGAAGATATACCCAAGCTAATCTTTTTTAATGTCTAACTTAATATTCCAAAAATATGTTACAGTTCTGAAGTTAATTTGCCTATCTAAAGTATCTTTTATATTGTATATCTGAGTAGAAATTTGGGAATGAAACCCAGACTCAGTATTAAGTTCACTAACAACAGTTACTGCAACATGAAAAGTGTTGATCCTTTAAAATATCCTTTCATTTCTGCTTGACAATCTTTACGTTTTTCAAACAGGTGTTCCGATTCACAATATGTGTACTTATCATCACTCGGGACAAGCACAACTATTTTTAAAGTACATTTTTGCCCATGTTGTAACCAATAGGCCCCTGAAATCTAAACTAGAAACCTAATTCTGGAGTCGGGGGAGCACTGGTGGCTACTGTGTCACAAGATCGAGGAGTCTCCCCTGCCTGCTCCGGGGCTTTCTCTCGCACACAGTCAGCTGTGTCCTTGCCCTTTTTATTAGCCTACTCTGGATAGGACACAACCTCTGGGAGTACAAGCAGTGAATTCATAATAAATCAGTGTCTCTATCAGTAAGTCTCATCTGAAGTACAGTAGCCTTTGGTTGAAGGGTAACTGCAGAGAAAAAACAAATACCATATTTATAATGGTTAACATGGAATGCCATGCGTAAATCGAACAGCAACTTCACTGTTTTAACTAAATGTCCTTATTGGATTGAATGTGAGCTTAAATTACTGTTGAGATTTACGTCATGTTTCCCACATTAAGTGCGTGATACAGATTTCGTGCATGCATAAAAACGCCCAATGTATTTGATGTCAGGTTTATTTAGATCCTGTTGTGAACACCTACTTCTGAAATTCTCTTTAAGCTGCTAGAATAAATACTCTAAATCACCACATCAACTTAAAAGTGTGTCTTCACAGCTTGTTTCCGCTGCCCCAGAGTGGCTAAAAAAATCAGTTATCGCTGATTTAAATTTCTCTATGTTACCATAATATAGTAGTTAGTATATGTATTTATTTGGAAGGTTCAAGTTATAAATGATACAAGAAAAGAAAGAAAACCACTTTCACAACTACAATTTCACAGCCAAACCATGTCAAAGCAAGGGGCCTGATTTGTAGCTTCAGGACGTACTGCACCAAATCTTTAAGTTTATATGACGAGGCCGGAGTCTGCCACATTACTGTGTTCATTTGATCCAAGTCAAATATTTTTAACTCCCTCTCCTTACAGATATCTCTCCTGGTTTTTTCGATAAATTGAGTCTACATTTGTGAGCCAGTATGGGGGACTGGAACTTGTTGGGGAAGCTGCTGGAGAGTGCCCAGGAACACTCCACCGTTGTGGGCAAGGTCTGGCTGACAGTGTTGTTCATCTTCCGCATCCTGGTGCTGGGATCCGCCGCTGAGAAGGTGTGGGGCGACGAGCAGTCCGGCTTCACGTGTGACACCAAGCAGCCCGGTTGTCAGAACGTCTGCTACGACAAAACCTTCCCCATTTCTCATATCCGCTTCTGGGTGTTGCAGATCATCTTTGTCTCAACGCCAACTCTTATTTATCTGGGCCACATCCTTCATCTGGTCCGCATGGAGGAAAAGGAGGAACAGAGAGAGAAGGAACTTGCCATCCACAATGAAAAGCACCAGCAGTTACATGTAACCAAAGCCAAGAAGGCCCCAATCAAAGACAACCAGGGCCATGTGCGCTTGAAAGGCGCACTGTTGCGAACCTACGTCTTCAACGTTATTTTTAAGACCCTGTTTGAAGTGGCCTTTATTGTAGCTCAGTACTTCCTGTATGGTTTCGAGCTCAAGCCAATGTACACCTGCGACCGCTGGCCTTGCCCTAATATGGTGAACTGCTACATCTCTCGACCCACTGAGAAGACGATATTCATCCTGTTCATGCTGGCCGTGGCCTGCCTCTCCCTGCTGCTCAACCTGGTGGAAATGTACCATTTAGGTTTCACAAAGTGCCACCAGGGTCTCCGTTACAGACGATCGCAGGCTGCAGGTGAGGCTCCCAAGGCCCTAAATGAGGCGGTCATGCCGTATGTCCCGAACTACAACTTCTTTGCTGGTCATGCTGCGGTGCCTGAACCTTTCCCCGCGGACTCAAAGTACAGCATGGCAGAGCCTAACGCTGCCTACAGCCCCTACAACAGCAAAGCGGTTCACAAGCAGAACAGAGACAATATGGCCGTGGAGAGAAAAGGTAAACCAGAGGGAGACGATGTGAAGGAGAGGAAAATCTCCAGCCCTATCTTTGAGTTGCCCATTGAAAATCAGCGCAGAAACAGTCAGTCAAGCAAGCACAGCAGTAACAAGAGCAGGCTGGATGACCTGAAGATCTAGTGACCGGTGTTTTTACCCAAGACTCAGGAACAACATGCGTTTGTCTGTGAAAATGTCTGCATGAGTATGGAAGACTATTACTACCAACACTATTGAGTGACCACAAGATTTGAGAGTGCACAAGGACAGCTTTGTAAACGTCGAACATGTGAGAGGCCATTACAATCGGGCTTTAAAAGGACGTACTGTACCCACAAATAGCTTTGTGGTCAAATTTCTTTCAGAAGTAAACCTGATAGTTCAGTAACATGATGTTACTTGGAAGACGGTTGAATATTGTGACACTTGAATGCGTTTTATTCTGCTCTCACCACGAGTTTGTGTGTGATGGATATAACTTTGAAAAAAATAAGCAAAGGAAGCTACACTTCTCATTCAAATCATAATTTAATGAGCTCCTCTTGTGGTATGAAATTATCAACTACGACCACAATTCATCGTTTGCTCTCAAAAACCGTCCTGTGTTGACTTGCAGATTAAGTAATGAGCAAATTAGTTTTGAACTTGCTCAATAGTTTAACTTCCATACCCGTGGGGGATAAAGATGCAGACTACTTGATAATTGTTTTGTTTACAAGCAACTTACTCTCTAAAACTGTGACATGCACGGAAACTGTCAAAGCAAAAAGCTTTTGTTGGACAAAAATGAACCTCTTACTGCAGTTGGAATATGTGGAATGTTAGTGAAATGCTTTTATCATCATGTTGCTGTACCGTTTCTGTTTTTCCATTGAACATTTGCTTTTATAAACCAAATTATGGGCAACAAATGTCCATATGCTTATTTGGATTATTCGGAAAGTATATATATGTTGAAATACACACACATTTAATTGTTAATATGTGACTTTGTAATTTGATTAAACTGACGCACGGTTGTCCGGCTGGCAACCAGACATCCAGCTTTTGACTGCCCAAAATGAATAAGATGGTAGCCGTTTTAATTTACTTTATATTTTGAGTTATGATTCTATGCAGTTATACTGTATATCAGCTTCATAATGAAAATGTAAAAGAATAAAAGCTTTATTACAGTAACCAAACAAGTTTCCTTTGTAGTTTGTGTTTTATCTGATACTTTACACAATTTGAATCTTAAGTGTTGTCCGTTAAATTGTCCAACCTCATTTTCTGATCGATACCAGCAGTGCAGCTGTTGTCATGTTCTTCACAGATCCCTCAAAATGAATCCCGCAAGTCACGGGTTGTTTGTTCATCTATTTTTTTTGGTTTTCTGGACCTTTGTGCTGATTCCCAGCACTGCAGATCCATTGGCCCTTCAACATTGAAGTGTTGTCCATCATCTATACTTTCAGAGATGACCTCCAATCTGTCCTGATTCTGCTTGGTCAGCTGGTACCCCTCTCACATCCGGCTGAAGAGACTGAGAGAGCAAACACCACATCATGTAGCATCATAAATGTTGTATGCTGTCTCTATTTTTGATATGTAAAGAAATGGTTGCTACTGATGGCTAAAATGTTTTGCAATGGCAACCTGCCAACTGTTACTGGCAAGCCTTATGGTGTGCAAAATATTGTTTTGTTAATATTGATGTTGTAAGTCGGATAGCAGATGTATTGTGATCATCGAGAGGCAAAAAATAATATTGATTCCTTGAATACTTATCATGAAAACGTTATACTTTGATATTCTCTGGCGGTATTTCTAACATGCAGCGTTTCCATAACAAACACACTGCTGGAGACAAGTTGGTGACATAAAAATGTATGATTCATCCTGCAGCTCAACAAGTGTCACAGTTTCAGAGGCAGACTATATTAGTATTCACATAAACCTCTTATAAGATGACTGATGTTTCAGTGTTTATCACAATTGTGACACCTAGATTTCAAGTATTTCGGACATCAAATGTTTTGGTCGGCACACTTTGGTGTTTGCACTTTCACCTTATTATGAATGTTTTAATCATTTAAGTGGATATAGATTAAAATATACAGTATATCTAAACATTTACCTCCAAGTCAGGTCTAAACATATCAGACATGAAAAGTATTAATGACTTACTTACTTTGACTGCAACCTGTCAACTAATATATAACGTTTTTTGCTGTATTATAACCTAGAAGAGGTGAGTTGATATTTATTCACTGAGCCTGTTCACATTGAAAAACTCCCTTGTTTGAGATCAACTGCCATGCATTTATTTAAAAAGATAATGTCACATGAACTACAAAAATGCTTGCACATAGTTAGAAATCACAGCTACAGATGTAGCTACAGCTAAATATTAATTTCTCATTCTCTCATTTTAATCTCTTTTTTGTTTTTGACCTACAAGATACATAAATATTGAATGTAGCTAAAAAACAAACAATAAAAAGGAAATGTTATTGATTAAGAAAAACAAATTAACCTCTTGCAAAAACCAAAGCAGTATTGAGAATACAAAATTGGTTCTGTGAGTAGAACGAATGCTAAAAATAAGGGTCATCTTGGTCAAACAGTTCTATTTTATTCTTGGCAGAAATAAACACATTTGCTAAACTCCAATGCTAAGCTGTTATCCCTAATCTCTGTTTGTCAGTAGCAAAGCTCTATGTACAAACAATCAGGCATGCTTCTCGCTAGCCCGGCGCTGACACCTCTACCAGTCCACACTCCAAACCAGCTACCCTTTAGTTCCTAAGTCCAGTCTCCTATGGACGTAGCGTCTACTGACACATTTAATTTGGAATCAGGTAAAAATTAGGGGGGTGTCAGATAGAGCAGGCTACAGCTCTTATTTTGATGTGTCAGATGCATGTTAAATCAACATTTCATTTGTTACATTAGATCAGATTCTGTATTGGCAGATACACAATATTAAAAGAGTCTAATCAGGAACAGAAATGAGGGGAACACTTGCTCAGGACATCCCTATAATAATCCTTGTCATGAGGTTTTTATAACAAATAAATGCTGAGCAAAAGGTTTGGATCCTGTGGACAACTGCTGTCATGTCTGTTTAAATGCCATACTCTCACCTTATTGGCTGGGAGTTGGTGACCATTATTTGAAGGAGCCAATCAAAAACAAGTCTTGTGCTGAATGGATCAGTTTGGTGAAAGAAAATATTTAAAAAAACAGTAGAATTCTATCAAGCGAATTTGTAAGATAATTTGTCTAATTGTCAACCGCAATCACTGCTATGATTAGATTTGCCAAGCGTGTCAATACAGCCCTTCTAGCCTTATTTTTAACTGCTTGGTTTCCAGCAGCTGCAGCAAACATGCACAGACTGAGTCTGCCGTGTGGATGGAACCATTTCCAAAACACATGCCAACACATGAACTGGTGAGAGCTCTGCTTCAAAGACTTCCTCACTGCTGCTATAAATAACTCTCGTGCACACTTGCAGGAGCATTGTGGTATTGGGGGTAGGGGGCCAAACGCTTCTTCCCCTGCATCAGCAACAATAACAAGTTGTTGCCAACAATTTGGCCCAAGTAAAGACCGATAAGTAGACCGACAAGTAAAGACCGGTGTGCATAGTGCAGTGTATCGTCTGTTCTCTGCCCTGCAGCTGATTAACAACCGCAATTGTTTTCATTCATTCAGTCAAATATTCTAAATACTACAGTGTAACGCCAAAATGGAGGTAGTCTGGTCAGGAAGGACAGTTTGTCTATGAGAACTTAGGAGAAATGCTTAAAGGGATAGTGTGGACCTTTTAAAGTTGGGTTGTGTCAATAGTCGGTGTATTACTACCTACAGTAGTCGGCCCTTCTGTGGCGGCGTGCCGACTGCCATCTAATGTGGCTAATACACTGACTATAGATAATACCTCATTCAAAAACACTTAAAAAGATCCAAACTATCCCTTTAAGGTCCCCATTGGCTTTCATCAATGTTATGAACCAAGATAAGAACCCTCAACCTTCTGGAGCAGCTCAATCTCTCTTGACAGGACAAGAATGAAAACTGAACAGGTGACCAGGGTGAAGGTTGTGAACTCTGAACCATATGCAACCAAATCTCCGAGCCAGAATAGTACGAGTGATACGCAGACACCATCCGTCACTGAGTCACACTGCTACTCGTAAATCAGACGGACAGAGTGCAAGCTTTCGGACAAGTTAATGAGGGGACATTTCAGGGTTAATGAAGATTTATTGTGGGCCTATATATACTGTATGCTTCTCCACCAATCATTTGCATGTTGGAAGTTCAATTCCTGGTATTCGAACAGTATTTCCAATGCATTTTCATCCTACTCTCACATACATGTGGTGTGGAAAAGCCAGGAAGTGAACGGGTAATATCCGTGTAGTTTAGTCTATGTATTGGCTTTTCTCACCAAGCGCAGCACTTTTTAAAAAAGCTTTCAAAGTTCTCACATACTGGCCGTAAAGTTGTCTATAACCATATAGCCTAATGCCAGGATTTTCCATTAAAACAGTAATTTCTACTGTACGTTGTGGCACCATATGAGACGGAACTTCAAGGCTTTTGTGGGCCCAGATCTGGATAGGAAACATGCCAGGGACTGTAGGTATTTATTGTTTGTTGGTGATTGGGTAGTCAGCTGTTATGAGAGAGGCAGACAAATTCCAGACCTGTGGGTTAAGTTTGGAGCCTCTCACACTACAACTATGAGCATATATTGAGTCAAAGCTTCCTTCTATCAGTTGACAAGAGTTTCAGCTCATAATTTAGCTCTCCGACCCACAACTTTACTGATTTGGTTCACGGTCACGCTTTGGTAATATTTTTGGCCGCAACAGGCAGTTGACAGACGGACACAGTTAGCAGCTAAGAGAGCAAGTGAACACAGTCGAGCATTTAGCTGTCAGACAGCAAGATGTTTCCCCTTTAAAACAGAGCGGAGAGTGAATATTATTGGACTTAAATTCACCAGGTGAATACAAACACGATTCCAAAGGACTATTCTCGCTCCATAACTGCTGGTAAATAACCATCTAAACCAAAAAGCAAATTGCAGGTTTAATGTCTCTAGTAGGCCTGCTAAACATACTGCACATATTGTTAAACATTAGTTGCATTGCATGGATATAAATAGGGCATTGAACACAGACCCACCTTCCTTTCTTTGTTGTGACGTCTTCAAAATTAAGTTTTCAAAATGAATTTTGACTTACCACAATAACAGTCTGCTTATTCATCCATGACTATATTTATTATACAATAAAATCCTACATAACTTTCCCTATATTATATGCAGATTGACAAATATAAACATACATGACTTATTGATATATATTCTAGATACATATTTATATATATATATATATAGAGAGAGAATTTTATTACCCTTAAAACACAAATAAACAAGTACCAATTAACATGTCATGAGTTCAATTTCAAATCACTGTTGGTGTGTGTACATCCAAGGTGCTCCAGGTAACACTCAGAAGGACCAAAACATGATAACAAAATAACCTTATTATTCATAGAATCATCACTCTTTATTCCGATACCTTTGAATGGAGAAAATCAAAAGCATAATCAAGAAGATAAACCAAAATATCTGTGCTTCACACATTTTGCTAAGCGAGCTCTCAATCAAAAGCTACACACTATAGAAGCAGTCGACTACACTTGGAAATATACGGACTTGATTAATAATCGTAGACGAATGCAGGAGCTGGAGCATTGTCCATGCCTGCTGTATAAATGATGCTTAATGGCAGATCTGGTAGCATGCCGGGGATAAAGATTTCCAACCGTAACATTTTCCTTCCTCTGTTCCTAAAATGTCATTTATTTCCTCAGCAAGTGAAAAGCACAATCTATTTTGGGCAAAAAAAAGTTACATTTTCCAAAAGTTTTGCCTAAAGAACCACAATTAAGAAATGACTGAGCATCTTAAGATGTGTTATGTCTTAACCACTGTACAACATTTCTTCCATAAAGACCAACAAATGAAATTAAACTTTTGTTTAATTTTTAATCTTTAAGATATCACATAATCATAAACTGAGCAATTAACTGAAATGAAAAGCTCAGAACTATCGCAGAAAGACTAAAAACGCAGTCTTTGCTTAGATGTTTTAATCTGCATTTTATAATCATTTCTTGAAGTTCGGAGAAAAGTCGTACTGAAATAGCCAGACCATGGTCGGAGAACATTGTTTAAATAGATAGCCATGCTGCTTTGAAACTCTGCGGTTTCATTATGGCTTAATGCACTGGACGGATGTCACTGACTGAGCTTTGGAGTAGAGCAGTGACATGACATCAAAGATGATAGGGCGTATTTTTGATATTCATTTTTTACATTAGTCATGTAAACACCAACAGATGTGTCTTTTCAGTTCCACTGAGTTTTCAAAAAGTATGTACAACTCACGTTAACAATCAATTAACCCAATAATTACACAATGAAGTACATTTCAGATTGGTCCTTATATCTTAATTGGAAAAAAAAACAAAAAAAACGTTACTGGCAAATGGCAAAATAATAAAAAACTAAAAGGACAGAGAATTGCACTTGCACTTAAAGAGCTTCTAAAAACAAGCAGAGATAAAGCTCAGAGTTTGGCCCCGAGAGAAGCTGCAGCCGAAGCTGTCACAAGCTTTTTGGAATCAGACGCCTAGAAGATCTGGCCGAGATACAGGCTTATCTAGAACGTGTGAATCTCAAACAATTGTGCGGATGATTCACTGAGACAGAAGCCAAAAAAAAAAAACAGAGAAGCAGAAAATGCACAGACGAAAAAGGAAAAAAACTCAAATACTGTAAATCACATCTGGCTTTCTGCAGCGAGCAGTTATAGTTGCTGTTCATTGAAAGTTAGCATAATGTTAAGTTAGCATAATGTGGCGAGCAATGTAACTATGCTACTCATGCTCTATATATTTTAACGTTAGATATTTGTAAGCCAACTCCGTTATATACTTTATATATCCCAGATCCAAAAAATATCCCTTTTCTCCCTTTTATTTAACACAAATTGCACCCTGAGATTTGATAAAATAAAATGTCCTTCAAAAAGGTTTAAGTTGTGTCCACAACAGTCTACGAGCTCATATCTTACACGCCTCATAAATACTATTGAAGTGATCTCTATGTACAAAATGCTGCACTTATACTAGAGCATAACATTCTACATATACGTTAAGAGGCACATAAGCACACACAAGTACATCAACCAATAGCACTCTGAAGCCAACACACGGCACATTTTCAGAGGCCGATGCAGGAGGTTTCCCTGCAGCAGCAGCACTCAGAGTATTTTACCTTTACTGACCATTGTTTGCAGTATGACGTGCTTAAAGTCATGCTATGATGTCGTTGCTGCCGTTAGAGGAACGAGACAGTCGAGTGTGGCAGTACAGCATCCTCTCTTGTGTATTATTGCAAATGTATAATACCATGATTGAATCTTTTATGCAGTGAATAAAATGCATCTGACATTGAGATAATCCGTATGGCTTTCCTTGCTCACGGTACTACTGTTTATTCTGTGCCTCTTCAACTGGAAAGCTGTTGTTTCTCACAATAAGTTGACATTTACAGAACAACATTAATGCTGCCTAAGAACAGGAGACACGTTAAGTCACAGGACACACTAGTTTGTTTTACGACAGCAGCGACTAGTTATCTTCAGCAGAAAACACATCACGATATCCAGAGGGAGAATCGTTTGAACTTCAGCATCATGACATCAGAGAGAGGGCGGGACTGAATCTGCTGTCACGTTTCTAAATACAGGGAACAGTACTGAATGTCCCTTACAAAATGCAAAGCTATACTGTAGATGCTCCATGGCGCATAGGGGAAACATATATTCTGAGGCTACATGAGAGGATGAATTTCATCACAGAGCTTGAAAATGCATAATCAGATTTAAGGAACGACAGTCTGCAATGAGGCCTAACATGAAAATGCAGCGACGGTGTCGGTCAGTGGACTGCAACAACAGTGTTTACAGTGGCTTTCAGATTGTGTGCCTTAGTTGTTTCATAAGCTATCATTGCATGAAGCCAACACACACACAGAGCCCAGATTATTGAAATCTGATGTCTCCTCTTCATTAATGATACCACCGTCTGCCCCGCCAAAAAACCCCTGCTGTCCTTTCCAAGCGGAGAACGGAAATTCATGGTGACTTTAGGGTTTGAATCAGAAGCTAAGTATCAATTCACTTGTGTATCCTTTCACTTATTCGCATTTAGCTTCAGCTGGGCAACCCTAGCTTGTCCCAGCTTAGTCTGAACATCGACAGGCCTTTCGAAGAAGCTCACGATGGTCGGCTCGTTGAGCAGAGAAGCGAGGACCTGCTCGAACGAAAAGGACCACTCCATCTCCGTGAGGTCGGTCCCCGCATCCCGACTGTAGCGGGAGCTGGAGGTGTCGGAGCTCTCCGGGGTGGTCGAAGCTTCTTCCGTCGTAGGCTCCTCCTCTTCCTCAGCGGCGGCGGTGGCGTTGGCAGGATTTGCGGACTCGGACGGGCTGCTCGGCTCCTGCAGCCTCCGCCCGACCTCCTCCATCCTCAGGAGAAGACTGGTCACGTGAGCCACGGCTCGGTACAGAGACTCCTCCTCTGGATCGCCGTGAAAGATGTTGTACAGTGTCTTGGAGAACTGGATGAACTGAGTCTGAGATTAAAAAAAAAAAAGATATATATATATATATATATATATATATACACATTTTGTGCTTCATCAGATAATCTGACGTATCATATAATTTTTTTGTGAAAATGTTATCTTCAGGAAGAAAATATCACTTCAGTCAAGAAACACAACATGGATTAAATTACCTGATTAATTCGGGGTAGGTCTTTAATGGTTTCCTCTTTCTTAAGTATTTCATTTTGCCATTGTTTCAGGTAGGCCTGTAGGTCCACTTTTCCTCTCCCTGTCAATTCCACACACAAACTGTAAACTATCACACATGACATGCGCAGTTGTTTTTTGTTATAGCCATGGAGTGTTTGTGATAGATTGGATTTGTTGAAATACTACCTCTTTCAGGGCTTTTCTTTATCACGCCGTCCTCTGGTAGATCAAATGCTGAAATATAGAAGCAGCATGTGAACAAATAGCACAGCGAAATGCTTCAACAACAATCATTCAATTTAAGGAAATCAGGCAAGCATTAAGACAGAATCATGACAGTATTTAGGAGGGAAGGGTAAAGGTGCAATTTGAGTTTTACAAGGAAAAGAAGGAGTAAAGAGGCTAACCAGTGAGTCTACTCAAGTGAGAAGAGTCTTCAGTCACTGGAATAAAGTGCTGGATTCTTTCTTCCTTTAAGTGCAAAGGACTACCTGTAAAAGCTAGAAGATAGCGACTGTGAGAGCACTGAGAGGAAAGATCAGAATCAGAACCGTTTATTGCCAAGTACGTTACACATACAAGGAATTTGACTTGGTGGAAGATGAAGACTGAGGATCCACATCAGCAATGTAGATGACATTTGTGAGAGAAAACATAGATATTCATACATGCTGAGTTACCAGTTTATTACACACAGTGTGACGCAGCCCCGTCTGAGAACTCTAAAATAGATTTGCATCTTTGTGAATCTTACAAAGTCTGAGGTCATGCTGAATGAGATGTGCTATACTTCTCTGCTCCAACCCGGAAGTAATCTTAATCATTGTGGTAAACCTTTCCTAACACAAGATACAGCTTAATAGTTGCCATGTGTTATCATGTTCATGCTCCACAATTGTACAACTCTTAATAGCAAGGGCACTCCTGATGTTAACATGTTTCGCACTCTATCGGTGGCGAGAAGTTAAGGTACGACAAGGCATTGTGTTGTCCTTACAACACAGAGGATGACACTGTGTAGCCCCTGCTCTCTGATTAAAGCTGCTGTACTTGTACGTGTTTGGACTAAAAACCGTACAGACTACAGAGCACATGATTTAATTTCCTCAATCAATGATGCGTTTGGCCCGGTTCCAGGGCCCAGGGCTGTCCCACTGTGAAATCGGCAAGTGTTTGAGGTCCCCGTGGTTTACTTTTCCAGCTCTCTCTCTCTCTCTCTCTCTCTCTCTCTCTGTACACTTTCCAAAAGTCCACAAAAAAACCCACAAAGCATCGCAGCGCGACGTCAAAAGCGGTGATGACGGCGCCTTTTTGCATCATAGCAAACGAAACACTGAGCACGTGGCGTCGTTTGTCTTAATATGTTGATTTGGGCCGACATAACTCGTTTACTTCTACACAGGAAGCAAAACAACAAACGGTCCACTTTGTTAAACGTACTGAAACATCAGCCTCACACTACTGTGCTCGGAAACATCACTGTGCAGGTAAAGTGACGTCACAGCGGTGCTGTCAGACAGCGTTTGGAGCACTCGCACTGATTAAAGACCGGAGGAGTTCAGTACTGGGGATCTGTCCTTGGTGCTGAAGCAATGTACGCTCTCCCCATGACACAGAACAAGCTCTGCTGCTTGACGTTCACAGGCCTGGCACATCACAGACGGTGACTCAGAGCTCCGTCTGCTGCTAAAGCTGTCACTTGTAATTTGAGCACTTCATCCTCATCACAGACCCTCTTTGTGGAGGAACTAGACCGCTGCAAAATGCCCTTACAGCACCTCGGCACCAATCGTTGCCATGGCAAACCTTCTTTCACCCAATACGGGCTATTCTTGCTTCATGCCTTCAAGCCCACACTGCCACATCACGCAGTCAGAAGTCACACATCCAAGGACAGTGTCTACCCCGAGGCAATGAGCGCACTCATCAAATACTGAGTTATGGACAAATCCTACATATCCCGGCCCTGTAGCACAAAGACTGATGCCTATCTGACCTTGTGATTTACTTTAGGCTGCTTCTGTCGGCAGCCGTCATGTTATTGCTGTCATGCTATTGCTGTCATGTTATGCAGAGTCTGGAGAACGATAAAGGATCCAGTCTGGGTCGGAGGTTGAAGCTGAAGGTGCACTAACACACATCTATCTTGTAGTTTACAATAGACAGAGAACTATTAATCTGTTTATTATGTCATTGAGATTTAACGCTACCATTGTTCTTCACTCACCTGGTGGCAGGTGCAGCTTGAAGAGGAATTTCAGCTTATTTGTGAACGATCCACTGTACAAAGTATCTGCGGGAGGAGCAATTAGAAATTATAGCAGATGCTAAAGGGTAACGGCCGCATTAGCGGAGAGCAGAGAGCGAGTGAACTCACCGAGGGCAAAGCAGAACTCTTTAAAGTTGACGAGGCCGTCCTGGTTCTCGTCTATCAGGCGGAAGACCCAGAGGGAGAGGGTGCTCTTGGCGTTGCAGAAAGCCCAGGGCGCCAGCAGAGAGAAGAGCACGCTGAACTGTTGGAAACCCAACTGATACTGCTCCAAATAGGCCAGGCTGGGGTCATGATGGAGCAGAGCGGGACTCTTCATTGTCCAGTAGCAGCTCAGGAAATGCTGCCTCTGAAAGTAGGAGACAAAATAAAAACGTCCATTTTTCCCCATTTAAAAAGAAAAATACGACTGTGGACATTTTTTGAATTATGAAACTCAAGATGCTGTGGCATGTAATTGACTCACTTTGAACAAGTTATAAAGGCCGTCAAGGTGTGACGCACTGAATCTGACTTCTTGGGTCACCACCCGAATCTGAAAAAAAGAATTCATCCTTAATACCGCAGAAACAATGCAAGTGCACTAACTACTGTAAACCCAACGGCCACTTACCACATTCTGTTTGGTTGTATCCTCCAGTGTCTGGATCACGTGCAGTTTGTTTCTTTTCCGTGAACTCTCGACTTCCTCTGAACGGATATTTCCATATTTCTAAAAAACCAAGCACAACTAGTTAATTCAACCACAAAAACCTCCATCACTGAACAATACAACACAGAGAAACACACCGTACCTCGTAGGCCTCTCGGATCAGTTCGCTGATATCCACGTTGAAGTGTGAGGCTTTGTCGTTATTGCCCACTGAAGCTTGCTTCACGGTGGAAGGCAGGGGGCTGTCTTTGTTTGTCACACTGTCAAAGAATCTGAAACCACATCGTCAGAGAAAGAGGGACAATATTTTACACAGTAATAATGTTTAAAAACATCGGTCCCAGCTTGGTTTGCATTCACACAAACTTGTTGAGGATGGTGACGGCCTCTGCGTCGTCCTGGCAGCTGATCAGAGCCCCCATGTTGTTGTCCAGCACCGCCAGGCCGAGCTGCAAGATGGCTTTTATGCCGTCGTAGAAAAAACAGTCGACCACGTTCACAGCACTCTCTATGGGGAGGACGCTGATGAAAAGAGTGAGGAACCAGGACAAGGACACGGACGAGAAGAAGCTCAGGTCTGTCATGTGATCCACCAGCTGGGGGAGATGGTCTCTAATCAGATCCTCAAACACCGCCTGGTCCACCAAAGCACCTGAGGAAAGCAACATCGGCAACATTTCAGAGTGCTATTTAACTCTTGAAGTCCTAGAATTACCAGCAGAGACAGAATCACAATCGCTTCCACTCTCACCGATAATTCGGCGGTTGAAGTAATCCGGCAACATCCTCTCACAGACGGCCACTAAGAGCCAGAAAGCCTCCTCTTCTTTGGCGTAGAGCAGAAGGACGGAGGTGAGGATGTTCATGGCCTGGACAGGTAAAAAAAGGATTGTTAAAAAAACAGACTACTTCCTCTCTAAGTATAAGGTTCCAGTAACTGGGGGGGCGGGAGGCCAATATACAAATGTATGTTCAAAAAAAAGGTACGTTTTTCAAAGCACCGGTGCCTTTAAAAAAATGTTTTCAACGGTTTTGGATCAGGTGTGGCCATTTTTCTACGGTACTTGGCCTTTTTAAAAATCACCTCTGCTTTTCAGAGTTGCTGCACTCCTCGATGTCATGAAACGACCAATCGCAGTAAAGGACACGGGTTTAAAACTGAAAGGGTTCAAAGTCTGTACTATAACCACCTTCACCTCATCTGTCACTGTTCAAAGAGCAAAAACAAAAAGGATGACCTCACATGAACTACCACTACAAATGAAGAGTTGAATAATGATCATGTGAGCAAATTGACTGGACACTGTTTATGTGTGCATATTCATCATATATCTATATTGTTCTGTGATAAACTTCTGGCTACATAAAGTCACGTGGCTAATGTCCCTCCATTTTACTCAAAGCCTCTAAGAGCTTGTGAGTGTTTGTTATCAGTTTCCATCAGGGCTTTACTGCCCGTTAAAAACAAGAAATCAAAGCACCTGGCAGTAGCCAATTTTAGGGTTCCTGTATGCATAGGCCGTGAGGACTCTGCGTAGAGCTGAGATTCCGGTGTCGCTCTGAAAGGCCGGGTGCTCTGGCAGAGAGCGGTGCAAGTCTCTCTCGATCTCATCTGTAGCCAAAGTGCTTGTTCCCAGAGACTGCTCAACCAGATCAGTGTAATAGCCGGGATGGGTGGCCATGTCGTTAACAGCCCCTACAGAGGTAGAACCACAGTCAGTCCAAAAAAACAAGATGCTGCACAGATCCCACATCAACTATGTTTTTATTGAATTATTCATGTTGAGTAAGCACTCAGTACATAACACTTCGCTAACAAATCACTGACCCGGCATATCACTTGGTATACATTTCATGGCCAGAGTAACGTCTGCTGTGTGAATACCTGAAAAAAGCATCCACAGCTCTCCTCTCAAGGCCTCGGGAACACCACGAACAATCAAGTCTCGCGTCTTCCTGGTGAAGAACATACTCGTGCCGCGTCCATATTCAGAGAAATGGATGTTCCACGACTGCTCCTTCATCTTTTCTTTAAGCTGCCGAACGCGCACGAGGCACAGACCAACAGGGTTATTGTACAATGCACTGCAACACTGTTAAACCTGGTTGTATTTATAAACAGAGGCATTTTTTATTCATGTCCACCCCCTGAATTGATTAGACACCCACTAAGACACCCCCATCCTGCAGAACATGAGAAGATCCTGGTGAATTACAATGACATCAAGCTGATCCAGTCAGATTCTGTGAGTGGTGGTTATGTCTCATTTGAAACTCTGATATTTACCATTTTGGGGTCAAGGTTCTCGACATCCTGGGGGTGGAAAACAGTCATGAGGGCCTCGGTGCTTACAGCCTTGCTGCTGTCTTTCTGTCCCACCATCAGCGTTACGTCCTCTGGGTTGTCGTCAAAGTGGTTGATGAGCGACTGGCACTCGCCTCGTATGGCCTTAGACATAAATACATATTATTTTTCAATGTCAGAAAGCACCGCTAGCTGGAAGTACAACGGCACGAATGAAACAATAGAAGCTTTACCTCCGATGACGCAGAGTGCTGGGGGCTGGGACTAATCCCACACCTGCTACGGATGGAGTTGGCGAGCCGCTGGTAGCCTCGCACCTCGGAGAAACGCAGCGCCCTCTTTCCACGCACGCACACCGTTAGAGCCCTGCTGCCGGAGTCTGGCTTCTCTACATTAATAACCTGGAAGAGGGCAATGTTTTAGGTTTCCTGCTACTCATCCGGGTGCCTTTTTGAGTCGTTATCGTTTACAATCATTCCCGTTTCACATTACCTCTCGCATCGGAATGATGACGTGACATTGGCTTCCATCTTGGCTGGCGAAACACAGGTAGTTCTCAGACAGACAGATCTTGCCAAGTGTGTTATAATGGCTGAAGGGCACCCACAGAAAGCTCTCATGCACCTCCAACAGGTTTTCCTCTTTGGGAAGCCGGAAAAATGTCCGGAACTGCTCGCTCTTTGCATGAGCTTCTAGGCCTCTGTAGGGGGGGGTAAAGCAGAAAATAATGAGCAGAACATCACATTTAAGTTTTCTAAGAACAACCTTTTAGCAGCTTCCCGACTCAAACACACAAAAGTCTCACAATAACCTCTTTTTTGTTCTCTTGACCATCACCTTCCATATCGAGCTCTCGAATATTAATCTACTTCAGTGTCTACGAGTACTTTAGATCATTACCAATATATACAGTATAATACTATAATACTGTATGTTATAGTATATTGACATTCAGTTTCTAAATTGTCCTGTTATATCATTAAATTACAGCATTTAGAATTAAAATGTCTCAATTTAAAAAGCATGGTTCTAGCTGATTGACATCCTGAATATGTAGTCAAAACTACAGTACGTTGATTTTAAAATACCTGACACTGGTATCGTCATGTATGGTCTACCTGCCACTCCAGCCAGGCTAACACAAACACAAATGCTTTTTTGACTGAAGTCAGACTTTATGTTTACTCCAGCACTAACTGGATCATGTGAAGCTGTGCAGTGCAGCGGGCAGGCGGCGGCTACCTCTTGGTAATTTGCAGGGGGTCGGAGAGCGCCGGCTCTCTCTGGAAGGCCTCTTTATCAAAAAGGCGCTTGATGGAGTAGTCAGCCAGCTGCTCCATGATAACAAATGTTTCACTGAGGTGCAGCAGCATGGAGAAGTAGTGATCCTCCCCATGGACCGAGACGCGAATGCTCTCAGTCAGGATAACGTTAGAGGTTTTCTCCAGCCTCCAGATCTCATCCCAGGAGATGATCAGTTTCACTGCAGAGGCATCGCAATAAGTGGAAATTAGACTAAGGCTCACAACTGCCAGGATAAGGATCTTCAATGAATGGGTAAATTATAATTAAAAAATAAAAAATATATAGGAAATGCATTGCAGTAACAACATACTCCCTATAGTGCCTTTATAAAGAAGTACTGATACCAAACAATGAAAATGTTCACAGCATTATTGTGATAATTCTTAAAATGTCACTTGGCTTCGTTAATATTCAGCGTTATCCATTATCCACACTGCTTTTCAAGTCTACCTCCACTATGAGGTCTGCTACAGTAAAATGGCTTTTTCACAATTATGGAACCTATAATTACCTGAAAAAATAAATATTCAAAAAGTGTTTCTTTCAGACTATAAAAGCCAACTCTGGTGGCCATTAGTGGCTGCCACAGGCTTTGTTAATACATGAAACAGAAATCAGCTTACCCTCAGCTCCCAGCAGGTATGAGTAGAAGCACATGAAGTTAGTGCTGAGGTAGAGCCAGCCCTGGCAGGGCACTTTGCCTCTCCAATAGCTGCAGGAGTAATACGTGACCAGCTTCTCCTTCGGTGGCAGCTCGAACCACTTTTCAAACCTCAAAAGCGCTTCCCGGAACTTCTCTGGATCGTCCTCCAGCACCAGGGACGTCTTCCCTTCCTCAGCAATAAGACCCTAACACATTGAACATCCAAGGTTACTGCGGACTGAGGGTGACAGTAAAAGAATGCACCATCATCTTCGTATCAACAATGGGTGTTGCTGTTGGTGACTAACCCACAACCTTCGTGTTCGCTAAGTGGCCAGAAAAATTACTCCAAATAATCAGGGATGAGCACAGTAATACAGGAATCAAGAGGCCATTATACAGTATTTGATAGCATTACAATCACAGCCCTGCTGAGAGATCAACATGTCGACATATTAGCCGTGTGGGATGAGGAGTCCCCATTTTAAAAAAGGATTTTTTTTCAGAGGTTCTTACTCTAATCTTGCCCTGTACAAAGCTGGTGATGTCTTCGCTGGAGTCAAACACAGAGAGTGTCCTCATGATGTTCTGCTGCAGCCAATCCCAGTGCTGTAAGATTTCCTCTTTGGTGACACCTGAGAGTCAAGAGACAAAACATTACAAAAACTCATCTATCAAATGTTTTTTTACTGTAAAATCTTTTAACTTTAACTTGGATTTGGGAATATTGGCTTCATTGTGACTCCGATAGAATTTTGCTGAAGTTTTTATAAAATGTCCACATGTGACATAATATGCAATTAATCAAAAGACATTTGGCAACTAGTAATCTTGAAAAATCTAATCGTTTGCCAGAATAACACATACAGAATAATACAGCGACTTTACCACATGCTATGGACCAGTACACTTGTGAGTCTGGCGTGTGGTGCAGAATGCGGAAGGGAGCAACTTTGGACGTGGAGTCCAACACAGTATCCAGAGTTCCCACAAGGAGGCCTGTAACATACAGCACATTGATATGTTTAACCACCTCTGTCACACGTGACCAAAGGCCATGTGCCATGGCTGAATCACAAAGACAAATATCGGACATATATGAAATAAAAATAAAATTAAAAATACGAGCGAAAATAACAACTTTTCATTTTTTGACCACTGCGTGTTAATTAATCCCAGCTGTGTTGAACTGTATATATATATAATGATGAATAGTTGCACTAAGAGTGTAGAATGGAGAGATCCCCTCATGGTCCACGTCAGAGCCGCACAACTAAAATTAGCTGAATCCATTATACCTTTATAACTTCTCTCAGACATGCCCTCCATGAATTATTAACACGGTCGATGTGAAACCACACTCATGCGCTGCATCAGCATTATACCGGCCTGCCTGCTGAACATGGACCAGCTCTCCACATGCTTCTACTGGTGAGCTGTAAAGGATTCAAACAGGATCATTCATGTTCTCATCAGTGCATCACACAGGAGAGCATATAGACTTAAACACATAAAAGGCTCTTGTGCTGGAGAGGCATTCAAGTGCGTCATGCCTTGTACCATCAGGTAGTATTTAACCTCCACTGCCATTAAACACCACACAAAGAGACATTGATCCTTTGGTCTTCAGCTAGAACACCATTCATTATCATTAACTATCCATTAATTACCTCGCGGCTGTCACACAGAGGCATGTGGTTAGAAAGTGTAGGTTACAATCATTGGCGGTATTATAGGCACCACTTTAATACCGGCAGGTGAGAATGGTCCAAGATCCAAGTCAGTAAAGACTGTCATGCAGTAAGGTTGTGTCTGCATTAAAAAAGGAGAACCAAGGACGTGAGAGTGCACTCAACAGAGAATGACGCTATTTTTAAGAGTTCACACATTTATTCTTTTTGTTCAGTTCAACTGGTTACTTTGAAAATGCACCACTCTTCCCTAAAACTGGTATAAGTTCAGCTTAAATATAATTTATAAGATATCAAATCAAATCAAATTTATAATAATCCATATGGATTGGTGCAACCGATGACTGTCCCTTACCGAGGACTACTCACTTAAAAGTATCAGATCAGTGTGTCGGCACTATTATAACAATACTGCTGGCCAGTTATATCGGGCATATATATATCATAATTAATTAAGTTTTTTTAACAAGGAAAAATACAAAAGCATTCACTTGTTTTGGCTTTTAAAATATGAGGAGTTCCTGCCTGTTCTTTAGGATTTTAACTGATTGACACATGAATCAATAGGCCTAAAAAAACAAAACAATCATTAGTTGTAGCCTGTAAAAACAGCAGTCACAGCGCTGACGTAGCCTAAATTACATCGTAACAACAACTTAGCATCAATGTGTCTACAAAGTCGCTGACACACTTATTGTGCAGGAAGCAGCGGCCCCTGACATTACAAATGCAAAGGGTTTAGAGAGCTGACTGAACTGCCCCCTTGGGCACCACCACCACCACCACCACCACAACCACAACAACAACAACCACAACAACAACATGTGACTGCTTACATATTCCTTCAGAGGTAAAGTCTGTATATATTGTCATAACATAGCTACTCCAACGTGTTGTTTGCTTTTGTCAGCTGGTAGTTTGCCTTGAGTGCAAATCTGTCAACAATGGCTCAAAGTTTTTCGGCCTATGTGTTCATCTTGTAAACCTAACCTCTGTCCAGTATCGAAACGGACTCGCTTAATGTTGACACCTGGCTCATACCTGTTGCTACGAGGGTATTCTTCTGCAGACTATATAAGGCTACACGGCAGCACCGCCCTATACGGGGCAGACTGCACGTCAGCTATGCAAACGTATAGCGAGTTAACCCGTTCATAACGTGCTGGTTGTAACGTGTCCCGGCGATGCCGCAGCAGCTGTTCGGCACATGCGAGGAGGCGAGAACACGCCCGCTATACGTTACCTGTCAAACCGCCTCCACCTTCTCCGTAACCTCGTCTCCTTTGCAGTACGAAGTACTCGTTATCCTCTTCCGTCACCCACAGTTTGAACGCGTTTTTCAGCAGCATCTCGTCGGGTTTGAGCCACATGTTTCAGCTGTCATGGAGTTACCTTATCAAATGCACCTGACATGTCACAGTTATCTGTAACGTAGCCCAACATCAAACCCGTGGACGTTTGTTTGTTGACCGAATCTCTCCCTTCCCACGTCGACAAGAAATGCTGCCAGAGCTGCAAGGCATTCTGGGATTGTAGTTTCTGAAGAGAAGGCGGTTCTCCGGGACGCGACACAAGCTGTGAATGAAATAAAGAAAAAAAACAAAATAACTGATTCATTTTTT